GGGGGGGGGCAGGACCTCTTGAAATAGTAACATGGCAAGTGTCATGATTAACATTCTGCAAAATAATTGCCATAAGTATATTATATTTCTCTGAATATTCCTGAGAAACAGATATGCCAAACATGGAAACAAAACCAACCAACCCAAAAAAACCCAAACAACCCAAAACCCCAAACAAACAATCAAAAGAACCCCAAAAAAAACCCACCCAACTGAAAAAAGAAGTTTACAAAAACATAGTAATTTACAGCAACAAAGCTATTATCAGGATAAATCATATTAAAAGCAGAGCTAGAGATCACATGCCTGCATTCCAGTAACCCCCATTCTTCTTCTCCAGTCTTTTATGTGGCACAGTGTGATTAATGAGAACTCCAAGTCAGGAATATATAACCACGATCAATCTTTAATATAAACAACAGATAAACTACCAAGTACTTGAGAGGGTGGGAAAATAATTTGTCTCTTAGGGAGATTGCCAGCGTATACACATAGCAGGCTCCTAACGTTTGCAAACAAAGTTTCCAGGGAGTTAACCCTTTTTCATGCCAAGCCTTTTCAAGGGTCAGTCTTCTGCCAAGAAAGGGGGTTTTCAAGTGTACCTTTCAGTGAGAGAAAAGCAGTGATTTCAGCCTTCCAGCAAGCACAGTGACAGCACACACAGCACTTGTGTGTTCTCTGGGAGGTGCTTGACACCCTTCAGGCAATCTAAGCAGTCAAGGATGGCTGAGCAGTGGCACTTGTCTGTGTAGCTGTGCAAGTTCTGTTCTTTGCAATGCTTTCCTTTGATATGGAGGGGAAAAAAGCATCCTTGTCTAAACAACCTAAATCCTATATCAACATCAGAAAAGCTAAAAGAACACTGGTGCTCACTGAGTGAGTGCTACAACACAGCAAATGAGAATTCTTCATATGAAGTGGAGGAAAGGGAGAGGAACATTGATGCTTTCTCCAGTGTGCGGAAGGAAACAGGATGTAGTAGAAAAGCTGCTTGGATGAAAGTTTCTAACTCCATTTTATTTCCTCTGAGGAATAGTGAGAAGATGGAGTAATATGCCAAGCTAATATATTTTAAAATCTTTGTACTGAAACACTTAGTACAATTACTTTCAGATTGTTTCCTGCTTTCAAATGAGAGCATCAATGAAAAACAAATACAGGCTATGAATGGGAAGTTTCAGGCTAGTCTACATTTAGAGATTATAAGTAAAAGCAGCTAATGACTTTAAATGAAACAACAGAAACGGAAAGTAATACATGGGTTCATTTATTTTGATTCTAATTTTCTTGTATATGGTTTGTCAACAGAAGGCAATTACAGATTACAGGTGAACTGACAGACATTTTGGGAACAAACTTAAGCAGATGTGGTCTGCTGTAGCCCATATGAAGGAATGCTGATGATACAACCACTCCTACCTGTCTCCACAGTCCTTACCCAGCTTCAGTTCCCCTCCCCAAAAGCCTCTTCATCCTATCCCCTCCCAAGTGGCCATTTTCCAGCCCTGTGAATCTCTGCTACCTGGGCTGCTGCACTACAAGCAGGTAGAGGGGTTGTAATAGACATGATGATGTCTACATGATGTCAACTGCTTCCTTTGATTTCCCAGTAGTTCTAATGAAAGTAGAGAGGTAAATTTTTTGCCTTCAGTGAGCTCACAGAAAGCATACAAGAATTTGCACTTCCAGCCTGAAAACACAACTCCATAGCAAAATATCCCAACCCAGATCCGAGATTTTACAGCCCCATGCCTTGCTTTGCATTCTGGATCTGGATCTTGCAAGCACTGACAAGACTGGACAATGATCTGGACAAGTAGTAAAAGGTTTTTTTCTGGGAGTAATTTTCAGTGAACACAGATCTCTGGACTGTCTCACTGCGTGGTCAGATGAAGTGCAAAACCTAACTCTAGGAACACTGGTGTTTGATTTTATGCTTCAATTTTCTAGCCCAAGTATCATAAGGAACATTAGAATGAAGATTATAAATTCAAATTCATGTATCAGCAATCCACTACCATTACATTACTCTTAACAATGGACTGTAGGTCAAATCTAGCAATTAATACTCACATACATATATCACAACCAACCCGCATCAAAATGCTCCAGTAAGTTTAAAAAATTTATTCTCATGAAAGATCAATGTGAGAGCAACCAAAAGCTGCCCACATTCAGGGTAACTGGTGAATCTTGTTTCAAAATAACAGTAGGCAAAACACAATGCACAGTTACTACCAGTGTTTCTACAGGTCATTTTCATAACATTGACTTCACTCAGTTCAGCTAACAAAATAACAAGTAAACCATAGGTTTCTTCACAGCAAGAACCCCAAGAATCCAAATGAGTTACAAAAGGGGAATTAAAAGCTCATAAATGTGGAATTGGGCAATGGAGATGATGAGAAGGATACTCTTCACTAGGGTCTCTAATTCCTCTTCAGCTTTCAGGCAAATTAACAAATCACTCTGGTGGTTTTGTTTCATGTTCATAATTACCATAACCTCTTCATGGAATTACTGCCTTGCCAAGCACATCTGGGAATATTTTATCACCTACACATGACAATAGCTTAAATAGACAGTGTCATGGTTTAAGCAGCTAATCAGATTTCATTGTCATGCTCAATAGAAAATGCAGTTTTTCTCTGCCTAAAAATACATCTATTATGCTATAGCCACACAAAGTGATTCCATATTAGCCTCGCATTTACATACTGCTTAAAAGCCTTACTAAAAGTGATGTTTAGATTTTTTTAAAAAGATACTTCAACCACAATTGAACTTCATGTAAACGGAGGGTAACTTCTAGTGAAAGTAGCTTCTCCCTAGTCAGCTCTTTCTATCAACAAACCAATGTCAAAATAAAGCATTTGTACTACAAAGGCCCGAGTCAGTCATATATGAGGCGAAGATTCAGGACAGAAACTGTGAGCCTGGATTCCTGAACAATGTAAAAGGAAATGGAAACTCTGAGCTGTAAGCTGCCATTTACTCTCCGCATGTAAACATATCTGTTCTGGTGCAGCTGTCTGCTGGTAAACTCAGGAAAATAGAGTTCAAAGTCACAGAAACACATGAACTGTGAACCTGGGGCTGGAGGCATGCTAGCTGTAAAGTACTGATATGTTCTTGTTTAAGTGAAAAATACCAAGGTACACAACTGCCAAGATAA